TCCGAATCACAATCACTTGAAGGCCTGGGACAGGATTTTCAAATTCCCTGTGCTCTGCCCACTGCACCATGCAGAGATTTTAATCATCTCCGACTGACGCTAACTCTCTGATTCCAACCACCGGGAAAGAACAATTGGTGAAAACCACCTCCGCCCTTGGGTCAGCCTTGAAGGGGAGACTGCAGACTGTTCCTTTCCATCTTGCCACCTTTAGTGCTGAATAACTTTGCCCGTGCTAAATTCCCCCTCCCCCAATCCCTTGAATCTCTAGCCAGGGCTTTTCCGTTTTAGCTCCAGACTGTCAGGAAATGATAATGCACATAATTCACATTCTTCTCTCGGACAATCTTATTACTGACGGCCCTTGATGAAAGGCCTGCTTTGGGTTTGGGCGCTCCGGCTGGCTGGGAGGGGGGAGGTAGAGGGCAGTTTTACCATGTGTCTGTCTGCTCCGAAAAAGCTGGTTGTCTTGGAATTTTCGTAGTCTGCGCCACAATCGCCCCGGGCCGTCTCCCCGCACGCGCTCCCCGTCCTGGGGAATTGCACGGGCCTCTTTCTTTTTCCAAATCCTGCTGCCTGCTAGGAAGCATCAGTTGAAGGGGAGCTGGCAAGGGTGGCACAGATGCCCTCTTGAGAAGCCCTACTGGGATTATGGGCTGATTTTTTTTTTTTCCCATCCGCCCCCTTGCCTCCCTTCCTGCCCATGGCAAAGGATTCTTAGGCTTGTCCATATAGGGACCCCCTGGGACCTTCATCCATCAAGTCAAGACTCCATTCAGCAATATGAGAAAGGCAAGGTGGGCGTGTGTGCCCCCTCCTGACACCAGGTCCTACTCCCCCCCCGGTTGAGAACTCATGCCTAGGGGACCAGCCAGCATGGGACTGCCTTTCCAGAAGGGCACTACACACTCAATGGGCTGCCTGAGCCACTCTCCGGCTCTGTGCCTTGTTCCCCGCACGGGAGCCTTCTCCAACTTGTCCTCAATCCTTGCGGTGCGTTTTCCCTGGCACAGGGGCTGCCCACGGCACCACCACAGAGCCAGCTCCTGAGAGGGGCTCAGCGCCGCCCCCCGCCCCCCGTCAAAACAAATAGGAGGTGTGCATGCCCATCGCAGCTTGGGATCCGCTCCGTTGTGCTCTGCAACGCGAGGCTTCCAGATTACAGCTGCTTAAGGCCTGAAGTGTCTGTGTGTGATCATCTACTTGAGCCCCAGCCACAACCAAGCTATTGAGGGTCCTGTCGCTCGCTCTCTGAGTTGTTTGCTTCTGAACCTCAACCCTTATGGAGGGGGCTATCGTCGTCTCTTAGCACAGAGAGCGTTCCGAGCTCTGCCGCGGGCGAGGCAAACCTGGTGGTGTATGGGTGTACGGCCATGGAATGGGGCACGAGGGAGGGTGCTGGGGGGTGCATTGAGCTGGAACACAGTGGGGGAGGGATTGTGTAGGGCTGGGGGGAGTCCCTGTTGATGGACGGCACAGGGCGGGGTTGGATGGCGTAGGCGGGCGTAGGCGGGCAGCCGCTACTCAGAGTCTGTTATTCAGACGATGCCTTACTAGTTTTAAAGCAGCTAATTAAAGGGGGATTAAGGTGTTTTGTGGGCAGCACCGCTGGGTGAATCACCGCCACTGCTGTGAGTGCTGCCATGGCGCTGGGTAAACAATGCCCCCGTCGTGTCTCCGGGAGGAGCGTGCATGCCAGCGCCTTCGCTGGGGCAAGTTGCAGCCGAGGGGCGTGAGCTGCCGGTGGGAAGGTCGCCAGGGGGCCCCAATGGTGGGTGCCAAGCCTGCCCCTAGAAAGGGGGCACCCAAGCAGGCTCTGGAATGCCAGCACTGGGGTCTGAAGGCATCTTCCCATGCTAGGGGTCAGAGGTCAGGATCCTACAACCCGTGGGCTCCGTGGCTGTTCAGCTGGGGGCTGCCAGTTTGTGGGGCAGGTTGTGCTGGTGGCTTTTGTGTTGTGAGCATCCCCGGAGCCTATTTCCTTCCCCAGGTTTTAGGGAATGAGGTGGGGAGGGGGAGCCACCAAAGGGTCTCAGCCTGTGCCCCCCAACCTGGGAAGCCCCTGGAAATGTCACCCCCCAAATGCAGCTTGGATTAGGTCCGGAGAAGTTTCCAGGGGATGGGAATTGAAAACCATATGAGGAAATCCTCCCCCACTGGCTGGGGGGGTCTGCCCTCCCCCCCTCCCCCACCGAAAGGGGGGTCCGCCATTGACTTCAGGGGAGCCAAAGTTTCCCCCCAAATGTCTTGATGCTCCCCGCCTCGAGGGCTTTGGAGTTGCTCTGCAAGATGCCAGCTGTCCTGCACGAAGTGTGGAGCCATAGGACTGGAGTGGTCACTGAGGTCATGCCCGGTTTTGTGGGAGCCCCATCACATCATCCTGCCCAGAAATGGATCAGGTTCCATCTTCAGACTCCGTAGGGCGCTTGCCCCCACCCTTCCTACTGAGGCTGCAAACTTCCTCCTCCTCTCCAGCCTCAGCTGCTCCCTGGCCAGTTTATTCCCATTTGTTCTTGTGCCAGCATTGTCCTTTGGCTCCTAAATCGCTTCCCCCTTCCCGGTGTCATTTACCGAGAGCAATCGGATCCCCCTCAGCCTTTGTCTGGCTGAGCAAGCCAGGCCCCTCCTGTCTCCTCTTGCGAGATCGGCTCCGTTCCCCTGGTCAGCCTAGTGGCTCTTCTCCACACGTGCTCCGGTTTGAATGCCGGGCTCTGGCCTGGAGCACGTGCTCTGGTTGTGTATTGCCACGAGCTAGCAGAGGTGGGGGCTGTAGCCTGGGGATTGGGACACGCAGCTTCAATTCCTGGCTTTGCCCCACACACAGTGTGACTGTGGGCAAGTCACTTGGTGTCTCCGTGTCCCAGTTCGGGGCTATTGGGGATAACGGCCCTGCCTCGCAGCAGACGTAGGAGGATAAACATACTGACAAATGTGATATGCCCAGATGCTGCGGTGATGGGCGCCATGTTCGTACCTACAGTGGATTGATAAGAGCATGGAAAAAACTTTCCTGGCTCTGCACAGCTGGGGGGCCCCACAAATCCCTGGGCATTCTGCATCCCCCCCTCACGGTGTTTTAGAGCAGTTGCTGTGCTCATGAAACTCTTCATGTGATGGTGAGCAGGCTCCTTCCCATCAACCTGTAGAACCAGGTCCTGGTCTGGTGCTGTCATTGGCCCCGGCCCTGTCTGGACGCCACCTGCATGCATAGTGTGCAGCCACGTGTGTTATCTGCTGTCCTAATCGACGGAGCTGACATGCTCTTTTATGCAATCCTACGTAGGTATCCTCCTCTTCTAAGCTTGCTTTCTTCCAGCCGGGGAACATTCACAGTCTCTTTCCAGTGTTGTTCCTTGTCAAGGAGTGACCCGAGCTGACTTCGTCTTCCAGAGCCTCGTGCTGATTTTATTTTGGTGCTTAGATGGATGAGCAGTTCTCAGAATCCCGTGGCAATGCAGCGACTGAGTGGAAAAATGTAAACCACTGACCCTTTCCATGGCTTGGCAGGAGCCAGCAAATATTGGTTCAACATGCAGCCGGGCTCCGAGACGCGGGGTGGGGTCGGGGAGCTAAAATGGACAAGATGCTTTGGGCCTGGTGCAAACTAATCTGTCAGCTCCAGCTGTCAGCCAGTTGGTGTGTTGTTTTCTTGATCGCCAGGCCTTTGGCGTCGTGGATCGGCTCTTGCCACTCTCATCTCGTGAGTGAGAATAAGACTCTTCCTAAGGGATGAGCCCAGGCAGCCCTGGGGAGCAAAGGAGGGTGTGAGGTTGTCTCGTTCATGATCCCTGAAGGGATATTTTTCCATGCAGCTGCGTTAGGTGGGACAAGGGCCCGGCTTGCTAGAGGCAGGAAACAAAAGCTGATGTCTGTGAAGCAACAATTGGAATGTCGGGCGCTGTCCAAAGAAAACCTCGTGACATAGGGCTTGCCTCATGAATCTGCAAAGCTCCCGCCCTTGTAAACATCCCCTTCTCCTCCTGAAAAACCCAGATTTTGCAATTCCCTTTGGATCCCCAGAGCAACTGGGACAGAAAATGCAGCTTTCTTATCTCTCTTCCCCGCCCCCACTGCCCTCCCAAAGTTAGCCAGATCCTAAGTGAGATCAGTTTAACTCAGTCTATACCACTGGGACACGATCTAGTTTTTCTCTCCAACAGAGGCTGTTTTTTATGACTCTCCTTTCCTCCCCAACCTCAGGGCTTTTCGGGGACGGCTGCCTCTTTTGGGGAGCTGGCTATGGGGCATTCTGGGTGATGTGGGAGAGAGGGGGTAGCCTAAAACAGCTGTCGTCGCTGGGTTGTCCCTGTCTTGTTTGAAAGGGCTGGTCTCATTCTGCTTCCTAGAAGATGCCTCTCTGTATCCCAATCCCAAAGCGAGCAGGTTGGCTGGCTTCTGTCACTTCCTTTCCCTCTTCTGCTGAAACTTACCAACCTTCCGTTCTGAAATCTGTCCGAGCCCCCTTCCCCGCCCAGTGTTGGGGGCATAAGCCCCTCCCATTGGGCGGAGCTAGAGCGCTATATAACTAAGCCAGACTGAGTGACCCCACCCAAAGGGCTGTAGAGACGCAGCCGGTCTCCTTCCATACAGGCTGTTCCATAAGCCATTCACTTCACCTGGTGCTAGCGCCATCGCTTTAAACTGGGCCGAAGAGCTGAGTGACATTCTTCTTTGCTCCCCGCTGGGCTACGAAACGCTCCCAGGCTGGGGACAGATGGGACCTGCAGCCCAGGCTCCCCTCTGGGTCACTTGAGCAATGCAGACAGCAGCAGGGCCTGCTCTGTGGCCGTGCAGGGGACCTTTCCGGGGCAGACAATCGGTCATTCTGCAGGTCAGGGGTTCGCTACCTATGAATTGTGAACAGGCACCTGGGGGGTGAGGAGCTGGGAATGTCTTGACATGGGAAAGGTGAGAACTGCTGCCATGGGAGTCCCTGCCTTGTGGGTCTCTGGTGCCGCGTCTGCTCTCAGGGGCTGACTCCGTTCTCCTGTTCTCTGCAGCTCCTGGAGTACGTGGGCAAGGGAAAGAGCATCATCGACGTTGGGCTGGCCCAGGCAAGGCACCCCCTGAGCACCAGGAGCCACTACTTTGAGGTGGAGATCGTAGACCCCGGGGAGAAGTGCTATATCGCGCTAGGCCTGGCCCGGAAGGTAAAGCCACTGGATGGATCCCACACATCCGTCCGATTTGTGTCTGTCCGCGAGCCTGCTGATAGCAAGAGTGGGTTGAGCTGGGGCTTGGGAGACCCGGCTGCAATTCCTGGCCTAGCTCCCGACGTCCAGCGTGACCTTGAGCAAGTCACTTAATCTGACCCGTGTCTCAGTTTCCCACCTGTCCAATAGGGATAATGCTCCCCTACCTCCCAGGATGGGTGGGAGGATAAAATCTGCAAGTGAGTGTTTTGGGGCTCAGATACAAGGGTGAGTAAGGCCAGATCAAGTCCTAGGTAATGTCTCTGGTCACCTAGACCTTCCTAGGGCTGTTAGCACTCGTTCCCATGTTTAGGGAGAGTGGGGAGCAGACCCACTCGCCTGGGTTCCTTTCCCATCTCGTCTACAGACTCTTCGCTTTGCCACACCTCAGTTTAAATAGGAGGGAGCTCCCACTTAGCAGTGTGAGAAGGTTAATGTCTGCGACGTGCAGGCTCTCTGGCCGGAGTTACAGAGCCTGGGGATGGGTAGCTGTGGGCAGGAGGGCCAGGGATGGTGGTGGTGTGGGGTGGGAGGGTTGATTGGCGCCGTTGGCTATCAGCACTTGGTTTAGATCTTTCTAATGTGCCCAGATGTCCAGTCCAGCACGGTAGCACTACATCTCTGCAAAGGGTCTGTAACGCCAGACATGGAGACATTGCTTTGCCTTCAACCTGTGGCTGTGGCTTCAGCTAATGAGCAAAGATGCTTGGGTCTTAGTTGTGGGGGCTTCCATTTGTTCTCATCACCCTTCGTCCCCTGCCATCTCCAGCTCCTTCCACTGCCAAGGCTGGGTACCCAAGGCCAGAGGCTGTGATGGCATAATTCCCCCCTCCCCCCCATGGTAGCATTGTTGAGAAGTTGGGTAATTAAGGAGCATGGATCCAAGTGTGGACGGTTTTTTACTCTCAGATGGTTACAGACTAGGTGCCCAGGTCCCTCTCGGCTCTGTCATTGTGAATAACCCCTAGCTCTTCCCAGCAGCACATCTCAGAGTGCTTTACAAAGGAAGTCAGTATCATTATCCCCATTGTATACATGGGGAAACTGAGGCACCGAGCAGGGAAGTGACTTGTCTGAGGTCTCCAGCAGGCCAGAGCCAAGAATAGAACCTAGGTGCTTCCTAGATCTTCCATGGTTGTTCTGAGGAGATCTCCCATCATGGGATGACCCAGCCTGACCCTGTTTAGCTTCCAAGAGGTGCCCCGATCGCTACTCAAGCTGCATGTTTTATTATTGTGCCTGTTTTATTAAAAGCCCCTTCCCAGGCACCCACCACCCCGGCAGGTGAATGATCTAGCCAGGCCCATTTCTCTTTGCGAGGTCTCACTTGATTGTGGCGTGGGCGCCACCCTCTAGGCTGTGCTGCCTCCCCCTTGAGAATGCAAACCATCCCCTGCCCTTTTCCTGTCAAACGCAGCCATCTGTTTCTGTGTTTGTCCCGACATGTGATCTGGATTCACGCACGCACGTTTGCCTCCCGGGCGATGCAGTGCATTCCTGGCCCCTGCTGCGGCTAGCGTTCCTCGCGGCACAGCAGGCTTGCCAGGTCCGTGCCGTGTGAGAGCCGGCCCTGGGGGTGGCTGTATCCACGCTGCCAGGTTCCCTGCTCGTGCCAGGACAGCTCCTGTCTACAGGGGTCTGCTTGTTACCCAGCTGTGCCTTGTCTGATGGCAACCTACTGCCCTAATCTGGGACAGTGAGTGATTGGAAACTGCTCTGCGGGCACTGCATGAAACGAGGGGGTGGGCTCTCAGTTCAGTTCCTAGCGGGGGAGCGTCTGCATCGTAAGGCCACCATCGCAACGGGCACCTCTGCTGGCATTCTCCGCAGAGACCATGTAAAACTTGGTCTGCACTTAGGTTTTGCTGTGTTAACTCTGCCGGCTTTTCCCACCGGCTTATTCCGGTTTGGGGAAGTGAAATAAGCGATACCGGCATAAACAGTTTTACACTAGGGCTTTCGCCAGCATAGCCGCATTGGCAAAAACCTACCCTGACGGCGTTAGCTCTGCTGCTCAAACTTCTAAGAGCAGACTTGGCCTAACGGATGAGACCAACGCAGCCCCTCTTAGGCACTTTCTTCCCTAAGAGAGAAGGTGTTTTGCGTTCCCAGGTCTGCCACTGGCCTGCAAGGTACTTCCCCTCTCCCCTCCATGCCTCGGTTTCTCCATCTGTAATATGGGGACAATGATACCTCTTTGGAAAGCACTTTGGGATAAGATCTAGGGCTGATGACTGGTGATTAAGATGACTTGATGAGAGGTAAGCGCTGAGGAAAGACCACACTGTTTGTAGTTTTCATATGAGTTGGTTGGCGGTGTTGAGCTCGGGAATGAAGGGGGGAGCCTGTCCATCGCCAGACCCCTAAGGAAGCTGCCCTTCCACTCAGAAGGGAGGACTCAGAATGGTTAACAGGGCAACAACATGCCAGGGGTGAATGGCCCACAACAGGCAGGAAGTGGCCCTAGAACCTGGGCTGGGAAAGAGCCAGAAGCGACCCCGTCTAATCCCGCTGTTCCTTGCCTGCTTTTGCTGGAGCTGGAGTGCGGCAAACAGGTGGAAATGGATGCTTGGGTCCAGCGGTCTCCTGGGGGCAGGCCAGGTTGAGTGTGATAAGGCCACGCTGGGTCACAGCATTGTCAGCTGGAAACCCTAAATTCCATCTACCCTGAGCACGTCACGACCTTCCGTGTATTTAACCCCACACGCCCCTGTGAGGCAGGGCGGTTCTCTTATCCCCATTGTACAGGTGGGGAACAAGCACAGAGAGACTCGGAGTCCGTCTAAACTGTTCCCTAAACCTGGACGTGTGGGACCGGGGCTTGTGGAGTCGAGTGTCCGCACTGCATTGTGAACCTGGGTTTGCAGCTGCTGGACCCGGGTCTCAGCCGTGCTAACGTAACTGCGCTGACCTGACTCGGGGCTGCAGCTTGGCAGGCATCCACACTGCTGAATGACGGGGCTCGGAGCCGAGGCTCCGTGGGACTCTGGCTCTGACCCACTGTCCTAGCAGGGTCCTAGGAGCCGGATCCTGCGGGCTTGGTGCCCTGTGTCAGACCGATTTGTGTGTGGACGGAAGTGGGGGGCTTCAGAGCCCAGGTTCAGTATGCAGTGTAGACATGCCCTGGTGACTTGTCCAAGGAGCAGCCCCTCGATTCCGTTCCAGGTTTGCCTCCTAACCACTGGACCATTCTTCCTGTCCGATCGCCGCGTAATATCGCCAGCACTGGCAGCACCACAGCCCCTCTGAGGGATGCAACGGGACCATCTCTATACTGGGTCCCCGGCCCCGTTGCATTCCCGCTGCGGCGCTAGCCAACCCACGCTCTGCACAGGGCTGGGCTGCGGTGGAGCAAGTTGCTGCGTAGGTCCTGGGAGCATCTTTCAAACGGGCGCCAGAAAGCGCTGGGGAGCAGGTAGCTCTGAGTCACCCCTGACTCATGCCGGTGCCTTGGCAGCCTTCGGGCAGGCTTCCCTCATCCCCGGTGGTTTGGGATTGGTCTCTGTGCTGTGCGTCCTCATTCACTGCACCACAGCTGTCTAATCCCAAGGGATTTACCTGCCGGTGAGTCACAAACCCGAGGCAGGCCATGCCCCGGCCTCCCAATTAACTCTCGCATGGGCCAAGCGCTCTGATTGCACAGGGTCTGGTTCCCCTCCCCTTCCCGAAGCCAAGCGAGTCACAGCAGCTGCTGTCAGGCCCCCCTAGCCTCGGTCGGGGATGGCGGGAAGGGGCATGCCGTGGCGCCAGGGGTGGGGGATGTGTCTGCTGCGCTTTTACAGCTGGATTTTCCATCTCAGCCCAAGGCCAAAGGCAATCTCCCATTTTATAGGGAAATATTTTAGCAATTCCCGCTGCTGGGACTCTAGGTGATAACCGGTGAAGTCATGAGACCCACCCTCCCTCCTCTCTCTGCCCTAGGACTACCCGAAAAACCGCCATCCCGGCTGGAGCAGAGGATCTGTGGCCTACCATGCAGGTGAGCGAGGCAGGACTGGAATGGGGAGGAATCTAAGTCTCTGGCCAGACCCCAAAGGAAGCTGTCCCTTCCCAGTTTAACCATGCACTTCCCGAATGCAGAAGCATCACCCACAGGCAGTCAGTCCAGGGCACACCGCTTGGGGGACGGGGGAAGTGTCACACTCCCAACACCGGACACCAAGTGTTTAGTGGGGGAGTGTTCAAAAGCAGATAGGGGAGTTAGGTGCTTAAATGCCACAGGGCTTTGTGCGCTGAACGTTTGCCAGAACGTTTGAAAATGTCTTTAATGGCAAAGGGTCCAGGTTTCGTTCTGCTCTGGGGGCAGCGCCTCCACCGTGGGGTCTGGATCGTGAGTGCAGAAGTCCAGGGAGTTGGCAGCCCACCAGAACAGCTGGGTCGCTGCTGTCTCAGACCATCAAGGCTGCATGTTTCCAAGCTACCTGAGAGGCTTGGAGGCCTGATGCTCTTTAATATCTCAGTGTCTCAGCCAGGTCAGCAAACTGCAGCCTGGATTGATTTCTGGCGAGGCCCGGGGTTGGGTCACAAGTTTATCAGCCGGGAAAGCTGGTTAATCACAGGTAGCTCCAGTTACTTACAACCCCGCTGGTGACTGCTGCCGTATCTGCCTGTCTCCAGCTTGTGTTGGATGATAGTGGTTCTCTCTTAGCTGTGAGTCCTCTCGCTCCGTGAGCTGGATCCGGTCAGACCCACTGCACTCCAGCAGGGATGGGGGATCAGTTATTTCCACTAGGGGCTCAGTTCATCTGGCTGGTGCCTTCCAATCTTCTTACATCAAAGCTGTCCTGGCCCCTTTCTGCTGCCGGACTCTCCTCTGGGTCCCTGATGCTCGTTTCCGCCTGCTTTGAATTTAGCCCACGTTAGTCTGCACCCCAAGGAGAACAGCGAGCCATTCTTAATTTGCGAAGTACCCGAACATGCAGCCGCCCTCTGTGGGTTGTCTGTAGCGGGGGTTGAACCGGCGACTCTTGGTCTAAAATCGTGAGCCTCTCCTGCCTGAGCTAACAGTCTCCTCTGTAATAGTCTCCTCTGCTTCTGTGTGAGCCAGCCAGCGGGGTTCCAGTAACATCCCCACTACTGCCTCTGCTCACAGAGCCGCGTGAAGGGCGGTTCTTCCCCAGCCCCTGTATGGAATCTGGGCTCAAACACTGAGGGCTGCAGGCCCAGGGTACGGACACTTTCCCCCTCCCGGGGCTCATGATAAGCAGTTGAGCCGAGGCTGGCTCTTGCGTTGCTCGCTGTGAAAGCCCAGGGGACTAGCGGGTGCTCGGCACCTCGCAGCATCAGGCTCTTAGGCAGAGCAATCGGCCAGGGATCTGGAGGTCGGACTCCCTGGAGCCTCCAGCTGCCTTTCCTTAGAGGGTCGGATGAGGTTCTGTGGCCTGCGATGTCCAGGAGGTCAGAATAAATTATCATGATGGTCCCTTCTGACCTTAAAATGGACGAGTACAGCGAGATCCGGGGTTTCCCTCTTGGCGCCGTGTCTGCTCCACTAGGCCAGAAGGAGCTGGCAGGTCTGGCTAGCCGAAGACGGGGGTTCTCTCCCCTGCCTTGGACTGTATTGCTGGCTTCCGGCTGATCCCCATCAGCTGAGAATTAGCTACGAGCATGTTGAGCCAGCTGTCCCACTGTGGCAGCTCCCGCCCAGCACGCTCCACCAGCTGGGAGCTGAACAGCTGCTGAGTGCAGGGTCTGTCTTGGGGGCTTGTTTCTGTGACCTGCTGCCTCTGCGGCTGGAGAGCTTTTGGAGATGCTCGCTGCGAAGACCAGCTCCTGCGCTGATCATTCTGGGCTTTAAGTGTCCGTGCTGTACCTCTCCCTAGGGGCCCCCGGGCCTGATCCCTGTCGTGCTACACCAGCTGGGCATCGGGCCAGGTGCGTGGAACCACACAACCCAATCTCCAAGGAGCCGCTTGCACTGGCGCCAGGGGGCTGCTCGGCTCGGGGGATGGCTTTGGAGCGCACCCCGCGCCACCCGCATCTGCTGCTGCCAAGGCTCAGCCATGCTTTCGGGAAGGGGCTTGAAAAGAGCTGGGTGCAGCAGAGCTCAAAGCGTTTTACAGAGGAGGGCAGTAGCCTTATCCCTGTAGGACAGATGGGGAAACTGAGGCACAGGGCGGGGAAGTAGATTTCCCAAGGTCCTCCAGCGGCAGAGCTGGGGATAGAGCCCAGGTCTCTACACACTAGGCCACAAGCTGCTGAGGGCAGGATGTTTATATCCATCAGTGCCTGGGTGGTGTCAACATCTCTGCTTGAGCCACCCAGTTCTGGGCTCCCAACGCCTGGTTCAGGAGCCCCATTGCCACCATCTAGTGGTGATGGGGGTTTGTCTGCGGGTGCCGTGGGGGCAGCCTGCCCTCTTGCTTTCCCTGGCCTAGGTCAGCCCTTCAGTCTCGGCTCTTAGTGGCAGAGGCAGTCTCAACCCTCGATGGATGATGGAGGCCTGGTCACCATGATCCTACCGGGTCCTCTGGCTCCAAGACAGCAGGGCTGGTAGCCCTGGGGCCCTTCCCTTGGGATTGAAGCTGTTGGGAGCCGTCTCCCCCCCCCGTTCCGCGTTCCCTCCCTCCCCTCCATGGGCAGTCTGACCTCCTGGGCTCCCTTTCTGCCTGATTAAGGATTTTATTTTCACTGTCTGACTTGTCTCTCTGAAGGAAAAGCTGTAAACGCTTTTGGTTCCTGGCGGTTTCTTTCCAGTGCTCGGCGCCAGGGGAACATTCAAATTCCCATCCAAGTATTCGATCTGCTGCCTCCCACTTCCCTTCGCTGGCCACTTCACCTTCCTCCTCCTCCTCTTCCTGGAAAAAAATCTCCTCCCACCTTTTTTCCCTTCGTGTTACCCAGCCTCGCGGTGCCAGCTGCTGCTCTGAGCTGCCATAACCTCTGGCAGACACGGGCGCTCCACGGAACCACAACAAAGCCGCTCAATCAGCCCCGCACCGGGGGAATGTCCGGGCAAGAGAGCCCAGGCTGGGAGGTAGCGATGCACACGGGCGAGAGCATCTCTGATCCGCTCGTGCTGCGGGCGATTGGAAGAAGTCCCGCGGGGAGGGGGGGAGAGTCTGAAGAAGCGAGGGGCGGTAACCCGGCCCTAAACTCCCTTGTGCGCTCCTGTTCATTACGTGGCCCTCTCCCTCCATCCCTCGCTCCTGCCAGCTCCCTGGTTTGTGGCTGGCTGGCAAGTCGGGGGGAATCTCTCTTGTTTTGCTGCCTCTGAGTGTCCGGCTCTGGCTCTGGCTCTCATCACCCTCCTATCTCGGACGCTCCCCTCCCCATCTCTGCCAGGCCTGTGGCTGGCGTGAGCTGAAGGCATCTGTGAGGAGTGCGGGAGGCCTCAGTGGAGCCCAGCTGCCCCCGTGGCTCGCTCACAAGCGGAGATCTTCGGCCTGCAGTGCCAGGCTTGCTCTCTTGGGCCAGTGGGTCTTTGCGGAGGTCTGGGGCCTTCCTTGCCCATCGTCCCGTTTTCTCCCCCCCGCCCCCGGTGGGCTGGCTAGCTGAGGGCAGCTGAACATTGCTGCCCATGGTGGGCATTGCAGCCGGGTGCCTGGGGGGTGCCTAGATGCCCCAGTGCCAGGCCAGCTCTCAAACAGTCGAGCCTGGTGTGCAGGGGGCTGCATGGGGGGCGGGCGGGCGGAGGCAGCTGCTGTGACCCACTTGCATCCAGGTTTCCCAGCTCCCTTTGTCCGCGTCCTCCTTTCCCCGGCTGCCCCGGCCAGTCGCTCGTGGCTCCAGCCCGGCCTCCCCCACCCCCAGTTTGGATCTTGCCATGTCGCTGGAGCTCAGCTACCTGGCCGGCAGCCCCAGCACAGTCTGAGTTGGGTTTGGCGAGCCTGATGGCTGGGTGCCTGGGCCTTAATAGCTGACTGAGGTTGCGGCATGGTCTAGGGTGCTGGGAAGCACGGTCTAGTCCCGGCTCTGCCTCGGTGAACCTGGAGAAACCGCTTCCCCTGGCCGTGCCTCAGTTTCCCCTCCCACTCTTTGTCTGTTTAGCCTGGAAGCTCTTTGGGGTAGAGGACCTGGGCCTGGCCCAATGGGGCCTTGCTCTCCCTTGGGGCTAATAGAAAAACGAACGTCAAGGAGCCAGTCTCCTTCCAAACTAGGACTTTTGGGCGTGAGTGGAGCACGGAGTCTAGCCGGGGCCAAGCGCGCCTCTGTCTCCTGCAGCCCTGGCTGTCCTATGCAGCCGCTGGCCTTCATCTCTCCGGGGTTAGACCGAGGGACGCTCCCCACGCTCGCAGCATGGTTCTGGTGCCAGTCACCATCAGGGCCTCATCGTGGTGGGTGAGGGTCGAGCTCTTGGCCTCCCTCGACCAGACACAGGCATGGGTAGAACGCACCAGCTGACATCGCTCTGGCCCCAGCTCAGCAAAGGGGGTGGGGTGGAGCCCCCCGGCTTGGGAGCTCTGTCATGCTGGCGGGGGGAGAAGGGGCAAGGAAGAAAGGATTCCAGCCTAGCTCCGAGAGGCCAGAGGAGAGGAGGGTGGGGGTGTGGTGGGATGTATGGGAATGTGGGGCCACTGAGGAGCGGGTGCATGGGACCCTGTGGGGAGGTGGAGAGTTGGGCAGCTGCAGAGGGCAAGGGGCTGAGATCTACTGGGGGTCTTCCCTCTGCATGGGGGCAGTACCCAACCCTGGCCCCCTCGCTGCACCCTGCTGGTGCCCTGAGACGCTGGGAGGTTGGAAAATCTCCAGTGACTTGGTGCAGGGGATGAGTTTCTCATGGGATCCCTTGGAGGGGCTGGGTTAAGCCTTCCCTAGACCCCCCCGAGTACCGTACACCGGCAAGCCCTGCTCCCCCGGGCCTCCAGGGGTCTGTGTCCCTCCAGTTATCCCGCATGGGTCCTGGTGCCCGCCTCCGCCTGTGGCAGGAGCCAGGGGATCCCCTACAAGGCGCGCTCGCTCTCCGCTGGCGACACACAGGAATGTTTACACAGTATTATTCCCAGCTTGGGTTGCCCTGGCAACGGGGAGAAATATTTACCGCCCCTTCGCTGGGTGCATCTCCCTTGTTTGCCGAAACAACCCCCCCCCCCCCGGCCTCCGCCCTCTGCCTGGCCCACGTGCCTTGTGGCTCCTCGGCCCACGTCCACGAACCAGCTGCACAGCCGGCCCCCCCGGCTCCTTTCACGTGGGCTCCCACGCTCGGCTTCTCCCCCGGGCTGTTCTCTGGTACATGAGAGCCCGTTCAGCGTGTGGCCCCAGCCCGGAGCTCACCCCAGTGCATCAGCTTTCTTGCAGCACCCCCGGGTGCACGCCATGGCCGGCTGGGCGCTGGGGTCTCCTAGGGCGAAGAGGAGGGCCTGGCGCTGCTGGGCGTGTGGGCAGCCCCCTGGGTCCGGTCCAGGGCTTGGGGGGCAGCTGATAGAACAGCCAGCAGCGGGGGCTGAGGAGATGGGCGGGTTAGGGCTGGCAAGGGAGCCGAGATAGGGCAGGGTGAGGCCTGGGCCGCTGGCATGGTGCCCTTTGAGCGATCTCTCTCCCCGGCCTGCGGTAACGTGGGCGCTCGCTCTGCAATTCACAATCTCTGCACAGAGGCAGACCCTGGTATAGACCGGGGTGGGGGTGGGGGTGGGGGTGCATGCAGCCCATCCCCCCCGAATACACCCATCCCCCCAGCTGCTGGGGATAACAAGCAAACCACCTCGGTGGGCAAGGTCAGCGCAGCCCCTCACGCACCCATGCCGGGATCCCTCATAACCGGCAACTGGCGCAGGTCCAGCGGTGGAGCGGTGCAGCGGGAACCCTGCACGTCTAGGTCTGTCCTCTCCTCCGTGCAGCAAAAGGCCCAGATTCCCTGGACAATCACCTGACCTCCCCATCCCCTACTCCTGTATCCCAGCCCCTAAGAGCAGCTGTTCACCTGGAGCGTCTTCCCCCCGTAGCCCCTAAGTGGGGGTTGACCCGGACCCCCTGCAGCCGAAAGCCTGCTGAGCTAGGATTCCTCTCGGCAAGCCTGCTCCCCAACCTCTGCGTGGCCCAGCCACTAGAGGGGGGCAGAGAGACGCTCTCTGAGCAGGGTCCACCCCCACCCACGCTGCCCGGCCCGTGCTCTCTCCTATCCCAGCCTGGGTCCCATGGCGCCAGTGCAGCGGTGAGGCTGGTCGCTGTGTGGCCCGGGTGTCTGGTGCCATCTCCCACTGGCGGACGTAGCGTTCCGATCCACCTGCCCCCCGGGCAGAGACCACGCCAGTCGGTGTAGAGTGGTGGTGCCACCAGGCTGGAAATCTCCCCCAAAGAGCGGCCACGTGCCTGGGCATCGCTCCCCTTCCCGGGCCGCCCTGCCAGGCCCGCCATGCTTAGCGGCCTCTCCTCTGCTTCTTCCTTCCAGATGACGGGAAGATCTTCCACGGGAGCGGCGTGGGCGACCCCTTCGGGCCCCGGTGCTACAAGGGCGACATTATGGGCTGTGGGATCATGTTCCCGCGGGATTACATCCTCGACAGCGAAGGTGCGTGACCACACGTGGCCGGGGGGAGGCGTGGCTGGTTCCCGGGGACCTGAGATCCACTCCTGTAGCAATGAGTGTAGTGCTGAGGGCTGCAGCCAGTCCCACCCCCCACCCCCTTTGCCCCGCCAGTGAAACAAGACTCGGAAAAGCAGGGGGGATGTGGAGCAAGGCAGCGCGGTCTAGTGGCTAGAGGCAGGAAGCCGGGATGGTGTTTCTGGCTGTGCCGCTGACCCGGCCGAGTTGCTTCGTCCCCTGGCTCAGGCCTCGTGAGGGCAGGGGCTGGCGGTCGCGGGGCACCCTGGGCACTAGGCAGTGCCTTCACTGCGGTGGCTGGACGGGGCTGAGCGGAGGACATGTGGTAGCAGCTCCTGGTCGGGAATGAATCTGGATCCGGGGGGGCGGGGTGTGTCCTTAGTGGGACTTGAACCTGGAGCCGCTGTGACGTGAAACAAAGGGCCGAGCCTGTTGCAGAGACCCCAGCGGGTGCTCCCTGCATGGGGTACAACCCAGCCCCGGGGTGACCAGGCTCCCCACCCCCCCCCCAGGTGACAGCGACGACAGCTGCGACACCACAGACCTGAAGCCCAAGCTGCGAGGCGTGCGGAATGTCATGTACCTGCACCAGGAGGTGGAGGAGGAGGAGGAGGAAGAGGAAGAGGACGGGGAGGAGATGGAGCAGGAGCACGAAGGGAAGAAAGTGGTGGTAAGAGCTGGGGGCTGTGCCGTGGGGCTGGGACTGTGCCGTTGGGCTGGGGTCGGGGACGCGCTGGGGGGGGTGGCTCTTCGGGAGGGAGGCTTAGCAAGAGGGGGGCTGGGGTGCCTCGAGGGAGGGATGTGGTGGGACTGGGGGGGACAGGCCAGGGGCGTGGTTGGGGGATGTACTATGGGATCAGTGGGGGTTGGGAGGGGGAATGTACCGGGGGGCTGGGCATGGTGGGGGATACCCTGGGCGGATGACTCGGGGGAGGGGGTGATTTGGGGGGGGAGGTCACAGAGGATGTGTCATGGGGCTGGGGTGGCTTGGGGGAGGGGTTGCTGCTTTGGATCCAGGCTGGTAGGAACCGGAGGCCCCGCTGAGAGTGACGGAGTGACTCTGTCTGGGGTCCCTTGTCCCTGGGACGCCCGGGACCCCGCTGGCATGACGCACATTGGCACAGCTCGCATCGATCAGAGCCGACTGGGCAGTGCCCAGCCCCCAGCAAACTGCAGCCCCTAACCCAGGGGCCGACCGGCCTGTTCTTCCCCTTGCCCCGCTGTGACCTTGGCCCAGGCCGGGCGTGGGTACGAGCCAGCTGGATTTCCCTGGCCTGAGGCGCCCCCTAGTGGCTGTTGCCAGCAATGCGCCCCTGTTCCAGGTGGTGCTCCAAGGAACTGGCTTTCTTAGCAGTGCTGGAGAACTGCGCACTAACCCCACCCCAACGCTGGGCTCTGCGCCCGCTGGCTGGGGCTGGGATTGGCTGTATTGGAGTCCTCCCGGCTGGCAGGCCTGCACCCGCGGCTTGTGCTGAGCTGACACCCGCAGCCGTACACATCCGGCAGGGTTGCACAGACTGCGTCCCGTGGGGAAGTTCCCCTCGGGCTTTACAGCTCCTGAGTTGCAGGGGGTGGCTACAGAAGCAGGCCTGGGGCAGCCCAGGGGCTTGTAGGGCCTGGGTTTAACAGAGGCCCGGGCTACAGAGAGAACCCGTCCAGCTGCAGTGCATGCTGGGAAGCGTCTTTGCAGGCAAAGGGGCGGGCACCTGCGGTCATTGCAGATTGGGTTACTCCCAGCAAGGAGCTGCTGTGGCCCTTGAGTGGGCATCTCTCCGCATGGAGCCAGACGCCGTGGCTGTACTGAGTTTGGCCTGGGCGGGGGGCGGGGGGGAATGGGCCACGTTGTGGCAGTGAAGGGGTTAACAGCCCGTGGCACCATCCTGTCCCCCCCAGGTGTTCTTCACACGCAACGGGAAGATCATCGGCAAGAAGGATGCGGTGGTGCCGGTCGGCGGCTTCTTCCCCACCATCGGCATGCTGAGCAGCGGGGAGAAAGTCAAGGTGGACCTCCACCCGCTCAGCGGCTAGGAGACAGGGGGCATATCCCATCCGCCACCCTCTCTCGGGGTCAGCTCCCTCCCCATGGGGCACCCCGGGGACGTTCTCCATCCCTTCAATCCCTCGCGCTTTGAGCCTCTGCCTGCAGGGGGCAGCGCTTTGTCGCCGGCGGCCGAAGTATTATCCCAGCTGGTGCCACACGTGCCCTGGCGCCCGGCAGTCTGCAGGCGGGACGTTGGGTGGCTGGAGAGAGCTGTGAATGTGCCTGGTGCTGTCCCCAAGTCTCTGTCCAGCGCCAGCCAGAGCACGGGGCAGCCTCCTGTCTGTAGCAACATGCCAAGCCTTGCGCCCAGCCTGTCCGTCTCAGTGTGGGGTGTGACGTGCGGAGACGGAGATGCCGCCTGAGGCCCAATTCCCACCCCCCTGTCTGGGGCTGGCCCCTTCCCCCCCAGCTGGCGAGATTCCTCTTCGCTTTAATTTCCTGTCTGGCTGCTGCTCCCCTGGGCTCCGGCTCCCACCTGAGCACGCGCGAGATCTGCGCCCATTGGGGCCTCTCCCGTTACCATAGATGGTGTTACGGCACTGTGGCCTCCTGCCTGCCCCAGCTCGGCCTGCCCTGGAGTTGGTGGGGAATCAGGCACCCCGCGGATGGCGGCCTGGGCTGCCTCGAAGCCTCTCCCTGCTGTCCTGGGGTGCCCAAGCCCTGCCCCACTTGCTAAAGAACCGGTGCCCTGGGCATCCTCCTCTGCCCCTCGCTGCAGCCGACGATGGCCCTCGCGCCCATGCTGGTTGCCTTATGACAGTGTCATGCTGCCCCTCGGGGGCTGGGATGGCCTGACCCATGGTGCCAAGTCCCAAGGGCATCATCCAGGCTCCCAGGGGACAGGGCGCAGGCCAGGGTTTTGTCCCTGACCAGTGTCTCGTTCTGCCCTCTGAGGTCAGGGGCTGGGGGTGTCAGGGCGAGCGAACACTGGCTGCTGTGGGCCCTGGCGTAGCGTCAGGCTGGGGCTTGGCCTCGAGGGGACAGTGCTGCAGCCCAGGGCCCCTTCGTGGGGGGCTGCGGTCAGCAAACCCTGGCCCTCCACGGGGTGATCTCAGCTGCCCCTCACCCAGCCCCCTGAGCCTGCAGCCCCCTAGACCCCACCCCGTCTCCCCTCCTAGGGATCACCAGGAGGTCTGTAAGGGGCAGGGCAGATGGGTGGGTTTCTTTGGGGTAACTGGGGCTTCCCCCATTAAACAGCCCTCCGAGCAAGCTTGGAAACTGTCTCGGTCCCCCCAGCCTGGTGTCGACTGGACTGTGCCCCATCGGCCCATCCCCCTGGCTTGGGCTTGTAGCCAGGCTCCGGGGCGGCCCAGCCCTCAGTGCTCCACCTGCTGTTCCCTGCGGGCCGGTTCAGCCTTCCGCTTCCCGGAGTCCACGTGAACCGGGTCCGGGCCGCCCCCCAGTTCCGAGTCTGCCCGTGGCTCCCGCTCCCACCCCCGCCCTCCTTAGGGGGGTAGCTCCCTAGCCCGTGGTGGGGGTTCCCCTGGCTGGGCTGGGCTGGAGAGCGTGATCCTCGTGGGGGGGGGGGGGGAGGGTCACGGCGGGGAGGCCTGTTTCTGCTGCTGGGGACTTCAGCACCTTCTCCAGAGCTGGCGGGGCTGCAGGGAGCAAGGGGGCTGCTCTGATAGGGGGCAGAGTTAACTATGGGGCAGGTTCCTTTGCTCCTCTCCACGGCTTTCTTGATGGGACACCTGGGGCCTGGGCTGTGCCGGCTGCCAACTGCGGCCAGGTGGCTGCTAGCCAGTGAGAGCTAAGCTGCTGGGAAGGGCCTTCCCCCCGCCCCCCGTCTGGGCTGCCCCAGCCCTGCGCTGCCGAAAGCTCCCTGGGCCTACGGGGTCATGTCCGAGATGGCCGGGGGCCAGGTGCCGGGAGCTCACGCGGTCAAGGTGCCACTGGGGCTTGTGCTGCTGTTTCTTTGCTTAATTGTTATCAGATCTTGTGAATGTAAAACTCCCCCCCCCCCCCCCCTTGTGTATCCCCCCAGCCCAGGTCTGGGCACAGCCCTTAGCTGCTAGCTGGAAGTCGGCCAGCCTGGGGAGGGCTCCGATTGTGGGACTCTTCCCCTGCCAGCCTTGCCCGCCTCCACCTGAGAGAAGCAGCCGGGCTGCTGCTGGGAGGGCGTGATCCCCTGGGCTGGGACCCTGCCCGGGTCCCATCTGCATGGAGCCCATCCCCCACCCCCGAGATGGGGATCTCACCATTGCTGAGGTTGCTGCTGGCTGAGAAACCTGGACTTTGCGCCGACGGGGAACCGAGTGTTTTGACCCAGCCAGGTCGAGATCCCCCAATCCCCACCCCCGGTCTGCGCTTTCCAACCTCCGACCTACACGTCTGTACATACTGAGATCTTTATACACACTCAATAAAGATGGAGTTTCCATATTTATCTGTATCCGGCTCCTGGCATCTTTTATCCTGGTTGGTGCCGCCCTGTGCCTGGCCTCGTGCTGTTGACGCCCGATGGGCAGCAGGGACCCGTGGCAGGCAGCTGTGCCTTGGGACGGCGGGTTGAGGATCAGGGTGGATCGATTTAAATCAGCAGTTGAAATCCTGATTTAAATCACCAAGCCTCAGTGTAAACCATCAATTCGAATCAGCTTCTCCTTGTGTGCTTTGGTTACTTGCTAAAGAAAGGTGCATTCGCACTGGTTTGTATAACCCTTAAAACAGGTTGAGTTACAGCTGAATGGAGCCTTGACACTTCATTTGGTCCATCTTTTGGCAAGCTAGGAGAGAACACTATATGCCTGTGATTTTAGCAGGTGTATCGCTTACTATTGTCCGATTATTAACCACGTTTTGAGTGTGTTAGAAAATGGGGAACGATCTATTGCTGCTTCACTTTGGGTGTCAAGCTGCATTAGAAGGGGCACTGGGATTTCATTAAGCACCCCACGCTGCGGAGCAAATTGATTTTCGTTAAACCAAACAAGCCCTTACGCCTGTGCATCCAGGACCTGTTGCGCCACTTTTATAAAGCTTCCCCTCCAAAGTTACATCCTTTCTCTGTGTAGACGAGCTGCCTTTGACCCCCCGTTTTTGCAAGAGGCGCATGGATTCAGCGTATTTATTTTTTTATTTCAGTGTTTTAAGGGCTTATAAGTCGGTTAGGCCATCACGTGTTTTGTATTCACTTCAGGTATCCTGTTAAGAAGACAAAATGTACTCGGCATTACAAAATCAAGTGGATTTACATTAAAAAAAAAATCAATTTTTTTATTTAAAAAAAAATTTGTTTTTTCCGTGCCCTGTTGAGGATTCTGCTGAGTGGCTGATTCGCTGTCCTGCCTTTGCCGCTGCCCCCACAGCTGGCAGTCCCAGTGCCAGCTGGACTGGGGGGCACGTTGCCCTGGCCTTGGAGCCAGGCCGGCTGCCTCTTGGGCTTCTCCTCCTTCCCCAGGCTACTAGGACACGGCCTAAACCAGGGTCCCGTCCAAATCGGGCTGATCCAAGACACACACCCCTGTAATTGCGGCACCCCGCAGTGTAACCACCCAGTAGAGACCCTAGTGAGGAACAATGACCCTGAGTGGGGCAGGTCCCGTTCCCCGCTCCAGCCGTAGCAGCTGCTGCAGAAGTGACTGGATTTTCCCAAGGCTGAGCAGCTGCCGGGGGCAGTGCCAGCGATGGGTACGGGGAACTGCTGCCAGCCGGGCGGCTGCCCTGATTTTTACCACCCCACGGTGGGCAATGTGGACCCTCCAGCCTGGGTTGCGAACGCCCGACGTGGGTGAGTTAATCTGCTGCGTGGGCCGCTCTGGCTTTGCTCTGGGCGGGCCCTGCCTTGTTGCGGGGTGGCTGCCGCTCCCCTGCACCCAGGCAGCTGCCTGCTTGTCACCAGCTGTGGCTCCTTAATGCTGTTTGTCAGGAGCAGGAGCCAGGGTCTGGCCAATGCTAGTTCCCGCCGGGGAGCCCGACTAGGTGCAATAGCCAGGGATGCAGCAGGAGGCACTCTGCTGCTGACTGAAAGAAGAGCCCTCCGGCTGATGCTGAGCGGGACACGGCCCATACCATTGGCTTGTGCTGGTGTTTTAATGCGGTGGAGGGGGGTGGGCTGAGGACGTCTGGGCTCCTTCCAGACTCGGGTCCTCGTCTGTCTGCTCACCACGTTAACTCTGAACCTTACTGATGACCATTCATCTGTAATGCTTCCAGTTCCACGGGCAGGGCGAGGAAGACAGGCAGAACGGTAAGTCTTAATGCGTGGATGGTGTAGGCAGGAGAGATTAGATTTATTAGGCACTTGGGGAACCTTTTGGGAAAGGAAGAGCCCATACAAGAGGGATGGGCTCCACCCAAACCAGGACAGAACCAGACTGCTGGCATGGAAAATCAAAAAGGTTGTAGAGGATTTTTTTTAAACGAAGGGCTGGGGGAAAGCTGACAGGAGCAGAGGCAGCCCTGAGGGATGAATTTATTAAAGAGGGAATGCAATAATCCAGGGGTTCTCAAACTGGGGGTCTGGACCCCAAAGTGAGTTGAGACCCCATTTTAATGGGGTCACCAAGGCTGGTGTTGGCTCTAGGCCCCAGCAAGTCTGAAGCTCAAGCACAAGCCCCACTGGCCAGGGATAAGATTACATGCCCCCACCCAGGGCAGAAGCCCTTGGCCTTCAGCTTTGGCCCCCTCGCCCAGGGGGGCGGGGCTCAGGCTTCGGTCTCCCCTCCTGGGGTCGGGTAGTAGTTTTTGTTGTCAGGAAGGGGGGGTCACGATCCAGTGAAGTTTGAGAACCGCTGCATAGTCTATAAAGAGACTAGGAAAGAAGTTAGTGAAGTACAGGTAGGACAGTCAAAAATAAGACTCCCATTTAAATCTGACCCACGAAGGCAAGCGACGGACTATTGATAAAACGTGCCAGTGCTGATATACAAATGCTGATGGGGGAACTAGAATGCCTGGCCGTAGCTGAGGCTATTGATATAACAGGCACTGGGAAAACCAGGTGGAACAATGCTAAGAAATGGGACATGGTAATACCCGGGTAAGGAGTGAATAGGAATGACGGAGTGGGGCGTGCTGGGGCGGCAGTATGTGGAAAAAGCAGAGTCAAAGATAGGAAGAATGTTGACTGAATCAAACTGTACCGTAGAATATCTCCGGCTAGAAATTCCCTGCTTGAATAATAAGAGTAGAGGAGGAGGAATATCCTCCTGACCACCAGCCTAGGAGGGTGAGGGTGATTATGAAATGCTCAGAGAGATTAGAAAACCCAGTAATAACGGGGGATTTCAACTCACACTGACTGGGAACCTCACCTCACGATGGGAGGCGGGGATCATAGGCTCCGACTCCGTGGGTGCTCTGGGGCTGGAGCACCCATGGAGAAAAATTAGTGGATGCTCTGCACCCACTGGCGGCCAAACTCCCCTCCCCTCACCTCCCTGCCCCACCTTGCCTCTGCCTCCTTCCCTGAGCGCGCCACATCCCCACTCCTCCGCCTACCTCCTAGCGCTTGTCGCCGCAAAACAGCTGTTTCGCGGTGTAACAAGCTCTGGGAGGGAGGGGAGAGGAGCAGGAACGTGGGGCGCTCAGGGGAAGAGGCGGGGCCGGGGCAGGGATTTGGGGAAGGGGTTGGAATGGGGGCAGGATGGGGTGGAGTTGGGGCGGGGGTGGAGAGGGGGGTTGAGCACCCAACGGCGCCAGCAGAAGTCAGTGCCTAGGGCGGGGATAAAATTTCTAGGCAGGGCTAATGGCTGCTTCTTGGAGCGGCTAGTTCTGGAATCCACAAGGGAAGAGAGACTTCTTGATTTTGTCCTAAGCGAGCCCAGGGTCTCGCCCAGGAGGTGAGTGTAGCCGAACCGCTTGGTAGTAGCGACAATCATTCAATTTAACATCCTTGTGGAGGGGGAAA